TTATGCTGCTATAGGTTTAGAGTTCTGGAGGACATAGGGACCCCCATTTCATAATTCTGCTTCATTCTATCTCTAGTCTCGAACTATGCAGAATCTGTTAGTTCAATCTCTAACGTTCTGCTCTCTCTGCTTTTCCTCAGAGTAGCTTCATCTGGTCTGTTCCTGTTTGGCTGTGACTCCATCCTGGAGAGAAATATCAGCTGTGCTGCTGCCATCAACACCTTTGTTTATAGAAGTTTGGAGCTTGGCCTGTTTTTCAGTGTAGTCCTGTTTCTCTGACTGTTACTAACTGGATGTGCTCTCTTCATCCTCTGACATGGGAGCTGGCTCTGAGCTCGTCTCCCTGGCTGTGTGTTTCCTGGACGGGGCCGCCTCTACTTCTTTCTCTAAGTCTGCTTCTGTCTCCTTGATTCTGGTTCTGCTGGAAGTTTTCTTTCTGTTAAAAGAGAGTTTTCCTCTCCACTGTCATTGCATCCATGCTTTGTGTGAGGGACATCTGTTGAGTCAATGTCAAAATGCAAGTGGAAAGCGTTGCCACAAGCTTATCCAGGGGAAACATGTCTTGCAAGTCGATGACTGGATCCGATCATTACTTGACAAATCATTCAACCAATCTGACTATGTCGTCTCTTTTTTTATATAGCTCGACAGTATATAAATAAATCAAAATGAATTTGATCCAAAGGTAAAAACGTACTTGCTGTCAAGCTTGGCTCTTAACATCTAAGTTGATTTTTTAAATGATTTAATCAGACAAAAAGTTATTTGGAAATTCTTGTCTTTCAACATAAAAAAAGGACAAAAGGAAACCAATTAATTTGAGCAGTATAACAATTTTCCAAATTAATTGTTTTCATCACAAATGTAAGAAACCAATATATACAGTAGGTGATGAATACATGTCAAGACACTCCAGCTACAATTTTATTCCAAATTCACCTGATCTCACACATGGTGTGAACTTTACTGTGATACTTTCACAATAATAGTACTTAAGTAAAAGTAAAACCTGATCTAGAATTTTATCCCCAAAAAGGAGTTTTTCCCCCTAAAAGTTACGTTCAATAGACTAAATGTAATTAGTTAATACCAACCTTTGGATTTTAAAGTTATGTAACTGCTTTTTGTTGGTTTGTCACATACATCATTTAAGTTTTTTCTCTCAAACTAACAAAATGTTCCAAATGTCAAACTTTTTTCCATCTAGTTTAGAGGAAGTCACCTCAGATGTCTTTTTTCTTTTGTTTAAATTATGCACTCATTCATATAACTGGTTGATTGTGCAAATCAGACACAGTGATCTAATGCAGCCTCTTAAAGGAATAGTACACCCAAAACATGATTAGCCTTCATTTTCTACTCACCCCCATG